AATTAGTTCTACCTATAAATTCATACACGTTTCAAAAAACACTCATTTGCATCACAAACAACTGACACACACTCAAGACAGAAACTCAATTAAATTGCCGTAGAATAGTTGCATTGATTAACTTCACATCTATTTTGCCTCTTCACTCTGTGCATTGCAGCAATGTTCTTTTCATGTGTGTTCCTATTCATGTTCATCTCCTTAGGGCTGCACAATCTGGACGCAGAGAATATGTGCATAAAAACCGACTTATCCCAGCCAGGTGCCTTCCAGCTGAATGATCTATATTTCTGATTATCTGTAGCTAGGACGGAAAACGATTTGGTGATTGAGCTGATGTGTCTTACAATCCAACACAGAATGGGGAAGTCAAATCATAATTCTTACACATAAACAATAGCACTTAGCAATAGCAGTTAGACTTATATACCGCTTCATAGGGCTTTCAGCCCTCTCTAAGCGGTTTACAGAGTCANTGCTATCATGTCTCCCTTAGTCCTTCTTTTCATTAAACTAGACATACCTAGTTCCTGCAACCATTCTTCATATGTTTTAGCCTCCAGTCCCCTAATCAGATGATTTGCAGACAGGCCAAAGTCTTTCATGGGCCATCATATTTATCCATTCTCAATATTTGCCTGAGCTGTGCAGGTATCAGAACTTTTTAGGACGTGAATTTCTCCTTGCTTTCCTAGCCAAGTTCTGTAAGTACTCAGCTGAGTTAAGATAGTTCCAATGATGGGAGTTACAGAGAGAAAAGAACACAGATAGCATCAACTAGGGATAGTGTCATATATTGATCCTTCAAGTAAAGCATAGGAAGGCAGATTCAGGGAGGAGAACGGAGATCAAAGGCATGCAGAAGAATCAATAGTTCACCAGAAATCACTTAACAACAGCAAAAGGTAAGGAAATGTTACACCCAGGTCAATGTTATCTCTGCAATCTTGTTTTTAAGTGCAGGAGTTTATCCTTGTAAAGACTTCGTTGCCATTATCCCCCTCCCCTCCAAAAAAAAAACCATAAGCTATTCCTTTTTTCTGGACTGGAACCTGAAGAATCAGAGATAGTTTGATATGCCTCGTTTATTGCAATCCCATCTAGGCATTAAAATGCACTGTTCAAAATCCCTTTTGTGGGAAGGGATTTTATAGTCAGAGTGTTATTTTCTGCAGTAGCTTTTCAAAAAAATACTGCAGTATGACATTGAAAAAACTCATCTCTCTCCCTTCTTTTTCCTGAAACTGGGGAAGTTCTGTATTCAACATGAGTTACTGATGAATACAGCTTCCAAAAAAAAAAAGTGTATGACCATCATGTAAAACCACTGTTTTATGTCACCAAATATGATGACCAAGTAGTGCAAAAATAGGATCTAAGGAATCTTTATCTTTAACAATTAGCCCAATGATATAAATTAAATTTGAAGGAAAACATATTTTTTCTTATATAAATCATTTAATTAATATGTTCCCTAGCTTGCTTTGTTTCTAGATAGATGAAAGATTAGACGGCTGGATGGATGAATGGATGGACGGATAGACAGATAGATAGATACTATCCAGCCTGTTCTTTCTATGTAACAGAAATAATAGTTGGAGATATAGATAGATAGATAGATAGATAGATAGATAGATAGATAGATAGATAGATAGATAGATAGATAGATAGATAGATAGATAGATAGATAGANTTAATACTGCATACAGTATTAGGATAATATTCTATCAGTATGTTCATTTGATCAATAATCATACATTAGTAATGGTACCCAATATAAACAGAATCATCACCAATTAATAGAAAATTCTATCAATAGTTTCAGTTGAAACATCAGCAACAACTGGCTGCTGATGTTTTTACAGTTATTTCATTATATGCCATACAGTTTATTCTTAACGATGAATCTTGAAAAATGAAGAATAACATGAACACTGAATGAAACAAAAAAAACCTTTCATGTCTTATATTTGGCTTTCTTAGGGAAAACAAAGAGTACGTTTTTGAAGTAAATTGCGAAGTAGCATCTGTGAGTTTTGGTCCTTAGTGGTCTTTCTGCGGTTTTGTGATATTTTCTAGACAAATGCTGCTTGCCTTGATTTCTGGCAGTTCAATTTCTGTATTTGGGAAGATGCCCGTTACATTAAAGGCACATCTTTGCTGTTTTGTTTCCTCAAAACACAGATGTGGAAGAGAAACTTTTAAGATCATTAAAAGTTCCTCAGAAGGTACACAGCACGTATTCTGCACATAAAAGACTTCAGAGCAAGGACTAGGCCCGGGATACTGTTACATGATTTGCATTGAAGACATCCCTAAATAAATGTGTAAGAATGCATTTTGTGGCATCAGCATTCTTATCTAAAACAACTCATAAAATTGATATTCGTGTTACATTTTGGCCATTTGAGAGCCGGTGAGATTTGAACCGCCGAACTAGCAGTCAGCTAAAGTAGCCTGCAGTACTACACTCTAACCACTGTGCCACCTCGGCTCTCTTGCTGTTGACTCATCAATAGTCCTAATGCAGAATATACAGCCTCATGCTATGTAACTAAGCTCCATTTCATGCTGACTAAACTAATTATTAAACTTATTAAAATAAATTTAATTAAAAAATTTAATTTAACTAAAAAACTCAATTTAAAATTTTTTAAAACCGATTTTTTTTATTCTTTTAAAAAAACATTCATTTTTATTCACCCTGCAAGAGAGTTTGGAAGAGTTTGCACTAAACAGAGTTGTTCTTTCACAGTCCAGAGGTTTGGTGGATAGAATAACACAGTTGGAAGGGGCCTTGGAGGTCTTCTAGTCCAACCGCTTCCTTAGACAGGAAACCCTACACCACTTCAGACAAATGGTTATCCAACATCTTCTTAAAGACTTCCAGTGTTGGAGCATTCACAACTTCTGGAGGCAAATTCGGTTCCACTGATTAATTGTTCTAACTGTCAGGAAATTTCTCCTTAATTCTAAGTTGCTTCTCTCCTTGATTAGTTTCCATCCATTGCTTCTTGTCCCATCCTCAGGTGTTTTGGAGAATAGCTTGACACCCTCTTCTTTGTGGCAGCCCTTGTGATATTGGAACATTGCTATCATGTCTCCCTTAGTCCTTCTTTTCATTAAACTAGACATACCTAGTTCCTGCAACCATTCTTCATATGTTTTAGCCNATATTTTCCCCCTTAATTAAAAGCAGTGGGGAAATATTTTTTTTTACTACCGGTTCTGGGGGCATGTCTTGGTGGACATGGCAGGGGAAAGATACTGCAAAGTCTCCATTCTCACCCCACTCTGGGGCCAGCCAGAGGTGGCATTTGCCGGCTCTCTAAACTACTCAAAATTCCAGCTACTGGTTCTCCAGAACCTGTCAGAACCTGCTGGATTTCACCCCTGATTAAAAACCAGGACAAAATGGCTTCTTTTTTCTTTCCTTTCCTTGCAAATGCATTGGTACAGAAAGTAAAGGAGCCCATATACTTGGTCTCTTGGATTAAGAGGTCCAAGAAATCCTTCTTAGTGTGTCTGGTCCTTTTTCATCTAATCCAAACTAACAAATTCTACCCCCAACAACTGTGTTTTTAGGACCAGTTCAGAGGTGAGTTCCTACCAGCTCGCACCGGTTTGGTGGAACCGGTAGTGGAAATGGTGACTGGGTCTCTGAACTGGTAGTGATGGCATGCTCACCACACCCCCAAACCAGTTCCCCAATCATCGCAACATCTTTTTTTTGACCCTTTTAAATGTTTTGCGCCGGCGCAGACCTATTTATAGGCAAAATCGCACCTACACTGAACTGGCAGCAATGCCGACAGAAACCCACCCCTGGACCAGTTGAAGCTGAGACATGATCACTAATGCTTATAGAGTTTACCTATTGATGTCTGAGACCTAGTTCCTTTCTTTTCCTCATCAGATGCTGGGCTGACTCCACATTTGGAGGGGTCATTGGCATCCTTACTACTATCAATGATGCTTGGCAGAGTTATCTGGCTGCCTCTGGCTGGAGGCAGTGCTCCGATTAGCATTGTCCAACTGGACCTATCAAATGGAATATGTTGTAGACATCAGTAGTGGACCTAAGACAGCCAAACTCTGGCCTTGACCCTGTCAGCTGGTATCGCAATAAAATTAAGGTCATTGATACAGTTTCCAACAGAAAATTACTAACAAGGCTTTGCCCTGATCATTCAGAAAAAAGAGAGAAATTACTGGGTGGAAACAGACAAGGAAGGCTATCACAAAGCAAAATGAAAATTCAACAGAAAGCCTAAGATGGCCAATATCATTCTTGGTCTCATGCACCAATAAAATGATTGGAAATATTTGGGGGAAATGTACAGGCTGGTCCTTGACACATGAACCACAACTGGGAGCAGAATTTCCATTGCTAAGCAAGGATCAACTTTATTATCTCTTTTGCCATGGTTTTTAAGCAAACCACTATAGTTGGTAACTGAATCGTGTGATTGTTAAGGGAAACTGGCTCCCCCATTGACTCTCTTGGTAGAAGCCAGCTGAGAAGGTCATGAATGATGATCATGTGTGTTACACACACCAGAGGTAGGTTCCTACCTATTCAGTCCGGTTGAGCCAAATAGGTAGTAACTCCGGCGGATACGTGATACCATACCAGTTCTATGATCGGCAGTGCCATCTTGATTTTCTGTTCTGCACATGCGCAGAACAATCTTCATTTTAAAAATGTAATTTCTATTTGTTGTTTAGTGTTGTGCCCATGCGCAGATCGTTTTAAAGGAAACTGTGTGACTTGTAGGGAATTCTGTGACAATCATAACTATAAGGACTGGTTGCAAAAAAAAAAAATCACCGCCATGGTAACTTTGAATGGTTGCTTAATGGTTGTAAGTCAGGGACTTACTTGTACAGAACTTGTATTAATGATGTGGTAGATGGGTCCCAATTAATAGAAGAGATCTCTCACATAATATAATTTACAGGATACTATTTTTTTAATCCCTTCTTAATTTTCTTGCCAGAAACACTAGTAGTACCAAATAAGTGCAATAACAGAAAACGATGTCCCGAATATACTTTTGCATTCAGAATCATCAGTGGTGCAGCAAATGTGGTTGGTCCTTCCATATGCTTTGATGGCAACATGTAAGTTTGGTGCAGTCGGTGTACTTGTGCATATTCATTTCATAGGCTTTGTGTTTGCCTTTACCAGTCATGCTGGTGGAACTTCAACTCTCAATCTCTGTCTTCATTTGCATTTTTTAGGATAATGAGCAATGTGAAAAATAACGTCGGTCGAGGTTTGAACATCGCACTTATTAATGGTGAGTTTTTCCAAAGGCTCAATCATATTCCATGTGACTTGTCCTGGTTCCTTGATTGCTTCTTCTGAAATCAATGAGGTTTCCAGTTGGAGTGCTGTTCTGAAGCAAATATTTTTACTGTTTAATGTATTGTTTCCCACTAAATATGGGAATCTGGTCCAGTTAGAAAAAAATACAATTGTCATAACATCTAAAGGGCATGACTATTGTTTTTATCAGGTATAATATCAGAAAAAAAATGAATTAAAAATGTAAATATTACATGTCTTAACAGCAGCGAGGATTATATTCACACAATACTGGAAAAATGAAAATCCATCACGAGATGAAGAGATAGTCAGGAAGATACTAGATCCATGATGGCAAACTTATGGCATGAATTTTTGAGGGCACGCAAGGCATGGCCCTGTTAGTTCCAGCGTGCATGCGTGTGCTGGCCAGCTGATATTCGACCTTGATTTTTGGCTGTTTTCGCCCTCTGGAAGGTTCCCTGGGAAGCCTGCTGAAGCCTCCAGAGGGAGAGAAACGGCCCAACGGGCAACCCGTAAGTCCACTCCTAAACTTCCAGTTTGCGTGTTGGGCTGTTTTTCACCCTCCGGAGGCTTTAGGTAAGCCTCCTAAAGCCTCTGGAGGGAGAAACATGGCCCAAGATACAACCTGGAATTTGGAAAACAGACTGTTTCTGGCCTCAGAAGGGCCTCTGGCAGGAAAGAAGACCGTTTTCGCCCTCCCCAGGTTCCAAGAAAGCCGTGCACGCATGCACAAAGCAGTGGGGGGGGGGTCACATGTGCATGTGCAGGGGGCATTGCGCGGGGAGCATTAACTTATGGGGTGGGCACACGAGCGCGTGCAATAGAGTGCACATGTGTGCTTTTTGCACCTGAGGCGAAAAAGGTTCTCCATCACTGTACTAGATTGTGCAGATATGGATAGATTGACATTGAAAAATTAAACAGAAAGAAGATATAGAATATTATCAAACATGGAATCTATTTTACCAATGGTTTGGAAAAAGGGGTGGGGATTAAAAATGTAAATTTGTGTTATTAAGCAAATTAAATAACCAGACAACACAATATTTATTAAGTACTAAGAAATGTATTTAATAAAAATCTTTTTTTTAAAAAAGGCATGAGGAAATGTAGAACAGCTGCATTCTTCTAGCCATCTCCAGAAGAAATCTGCTTTCGTGGTTTGGGGAAAGTGTGTATTTGCATGCAGAGCACTTTTCATGTTCCTTTGCTTAAATCCCAGGAGAGGTCACGTAGCCATGCAAAGCACAAACTATACAGGAGAATCATGGGCACTTACAGACAGATGGCTGGTGCTGTTGTGCAGTTTCCCTAGGATTATTTGTTTCCTTGTTTGTTCCTTTGCTTGTTGGGTTTATATGACTGCCCATCTTGTGAGACATAACTGTGAGAGGCTAACGACAATAATAAAACCACAAAAATAAAGTCAACAAACAAACATGAAAAGCTGATGCCCAGCATCCCTCCCTGAGTTCCAATTTTGCTTCCTCAATGCCTCGTGCTGGGAGGGAGCCAACTGTTAATGACTAAGCTAAGAGGGTGCTGCCAGAATTCAAGGGGGAAAATGTTTCATAGGACAGGGGCTGCTATGAATAATGCATTGCTGCTCACTGTTATCAGAAACAGATGATAATGAGGATAATAGCTAGCTAGCTAGGTAGATAAAATAGATTAGAGAGATAGAGAGATAGCTAGATAGATTAGTGGATTAGATTAGATAGATTTAGCTATATTAGATAGGAGAGAGAGAGAGATAATGATGGATACATGATAGATAGATGATAGATAGCTAATAGATTGATTGATTGATTGATTGATGATAGAAACATGATAGATAGATACTAGATAGATAGCTAGTTAGATAGACAGACAGACGATAGATAGATAGATAGATAGATAGATAGATAGATAGATAGATAGATAGATAGATAGGGATGGAAAGATGGATGGATGGATAGGGATAGATAGATAGATAGATAGATAGATAGATAGATAGATAGATAGATAGATAGATAGATAGATAGATAGAT